GTGTAATAACTACCACAAATAACATTTAGATAGAATTAAATCCCTGTAGGGCGACTTCACATTAGCCGGATCACATGTTATTTAAAACTGGTCGAGAGCCAGAGGTAATTGGAATAGTTTCTGTTACCTACAAACAAATTTGCAAATTTTCTACCTACGCGAAATCAGCCTTCTGGAAAGCTTCCAAATCAAATCGAGTGCACTGCGTTGAAAAATCAATGATTGCAGTGCTGCAGGCCTATTGTTGTTTACTTCGAGATGGTGGATGGAGTATTTATTACTTCCTCAACGGTGTTGGGAAAAAGGGATAAAAAGATGCGACATTTTCATGAGTCACCCGAACGCCGAAAATACTGAAAACTGAAATGTTTATCGCGCGGCACAATTTTCTGCTATTTTGGGGTGCGTAGGATGGACATCCCAAAGCAGAGAGGAGAAAGCACATTTCTAATATTGCCCAAATGATATGTAGACCGTGTATATTGTGGACCATCACCGAAAAATCCATTCGTGACTAATTGGCCAGAAAGCAATTAATGTTTAATATGATTGAAAAAGTCGAGTTTCTTTTTTGACAGGAAGTGTTTCAATGCATGACATTCACAAGAATTTTAATTTAGGATAGTTGCTTTGTGAAAAATTGTGAGAAGTAGAAAGGAACCGTCGCTGGAAGTGCATACTATTGTTTTTTCATATTTATTTATGTGCTGTCGAGATAAAGAAGACGTTGCTGTTACACCATTTCCGATGCGTGATGTACACAACCATTCACTGAAAGTCGCAATATTTAATAGCGTTATTATGTTTCGTGAAGGAGTTATTTAAAAGTGAAAAAATTTTATCTCATCAAAAATTGACAATGTAATTTTTTAACAATAGTGTCATTAAGAGCAATGAGTGATTGTGTTTATCAGATGCCATCTGCGTCATAAAGAATTTATTATATTTTTTATAATACTTTAGTGATAATTGAACCGAATAATTTTTGAGAGTGGTGTGAAAATGGAAATTATCATTTTTGGATTTCATAACTGGGAGAGATTGTCTTTGAGAGATAATATGCTAATTTTATCAAATTATAAAATCTTGATTGTAAAAACATTTTACTTTTCATACTCGTAATTTAGTAGAAAACGAGGAAATTATCTTTGTCAAATTTCAGTAATCAGATCAGTATCACTGTTTACTTCAACTACTTTCGCAGAAGAAAGTAAATGCAACTAAAAATAATTTTTGCTAATAGTACTATAAACTGATAACATTTCGTCATGGGATTTCCGATGAATGCCTTGAAATTGACGTAAGCAAAGGGCTGTAAGTGCCAGGCGCGTTGTCAATATACTAAATACGTACTGGCTGTCCCAGCGAGTTGCAAAAGTCTATTAGTGACGTTTAAATAGTACAATTTAAAAAAATATGTAGGGCATTGATAGACACTAATCTAGTCTATCGCCTAAAATTATTTTCAACTATACAGCGTGTCTCAAAAATAAGTTACAGTGCCTACGTTTCTTAGCATTTTTGGATGTAGATTTTTATGATAATGTTTTTAAGCTAAACTTTTATTGGTCGATTTTGCTTAGTTTTAAAAATAACACGTTTTTTTTGAGGAAAACATGTACTTTTTAAACATTTATTACACAAAATTAAGACATCTAGAAATATTTTTTTTATTACCGCAAAGAAAAAGGTACAAGCTATAAGGTTGTAACATTTTTTTAGTGTGTTGCATTAGCAATTTTATAAAAAAATGAAGGCGTTTGTTAAAAGTTCAATAACTTAAAACATTTAAATGGAACACCCTATTTATTGTTTTTGCAATTAAAAGATTATTAAATCGTCTTTCTAAAATTATTTACTTTTAGGTGTTTATAATCAATAACTACAAAGATATTTAACGTTAAACATTGAAAAAAATAATTACTATTGTCTCAGTAGCCAAAAAGTGTACAGTTGCACAAGAGCTGGAAGAAACACAAGTTTGTGTTGTAACTTATTTTTGAGACACGCTGTATAGTTGAAAATAATTTTAGGCGATGGACTAAATTAGTATCTATCAATGTCTTATGTAATTTTTTTTTAATTTTACCATTTAAAGGTCTCTAATGGACTTTTTCAACTCGCTGGGACAGCCTGTATATAACATATGACGTCAAGCGACCAAACCAGACTTTACATAAGAATTGCAATAAATATTAAATTATATTAAGTATTTATATTATTTACAGGAAAAACTTTGAGAAATTATTTTGCTATAGCGATAAAATGTGGAAGAGTTATGCAAAAGTTATTTTATGATCAAAATACTGGTTCGATTAGAAGCGACGTTTAACCTTATCCTTATTTGGTATTTTATTAAAATTCTTTAAATTTTCAATCCAAGAAAATGTTCAAAGCGTTAGTACCTCATAAATAAAATTAAACACTTCAGACTGAAATGCTAATTACTTTTACACAGTATATGTACCTACTGACAGAATCTGAACGCTAGTTTCTATACAGTACAGTCAGACGATTTGAAAATGTCGTGGCCATAAACGAACCGTTGGGCTTGCTGTCGTTCTTCCGATTCTTTACCTAAGAATTTTGGCAACGAAATGTGAAGTTTTGTATTCACTAAAATTTTAATATTTTATTATAATTGATTGTTAGTTGCACATTGTTTTAAAAATAAAACAATCCGTAAAATCAAATGTCGTAGATAACTAAAGGTGCGCCAGAATTCGCGCCTCAGAGAAAAATGCCATATGTAAGGTACGATACCAAGAACATGGAAAAAATTCTGTCTATAAAAATTTCGAAGTTATGAAAGTTTAAATTTTGCACTTTTACTCTATTTATTTCTGTTGGAAAAATAATTTTCCAAGTTTTTTTTGCTACAGGTTGTTAGAAGAGGAAACAAGGAAACTGTATCCTAAATTGTAACTGTGTTTAACGTTATTTGTGGCTTCTATTGGCAAAATTTTTGTACCTTTACTAAATAATTGTAAAAAACATATACAAGATTATCTGTAACATTAAAGATATAAAAGATGTCAAATGTCAAAAAATAAATGTCAAAATTTATTGACAGATAGAATTTTGTAAACATTTTTTCCATGTTCCTGGCATCTTATCTTACTTGATTTTTTTCTCAAGCGCGCGAGTTTTGAAACACCTTGTATAATTGACTTGCAGATTCTTTTGTTGTCATAATACTGTCACGCATCAAACTGTTATCAATATGCTTTTAGTTACATATTTTAATATATGTAGTTCGCATAATTTCCCCTTCTCTATGGGTAATATCACTTAGACAAATTTCAATATAATATGATAATCTATGTCAAGTATACATGATAAGACTTAAAAGGTGAGGTTAGTTCTTATAGTATGTATAGCTTGTTTTAGAGGCAAATTTCATTTATATGTATAGTACATATTTGTGGAGGACCAAATTTATTGTCCAGCACTGTACTGTCGAATCATGAAAAACTGGGACAGCACTATACTATCGAATTCATGAAAAACTGGGACAGCAAAACGTCGTAGTTATCTCAACTTTTCAAAATTTTTGTAATGTAACATTCTACGTACTTCGGGTTCTACGTACGTACGTACTACGTCAAGTAGATAACTTAAATACGTCTGGGATGGTTGGTCTTCCTATTATTTATTATTTACAATTTAGCGTTCTTTTTAAAACATACTTGAGAATTTAGAATTTTGAAAATTTAAAAATTCAAATTATCCTAATGACAGATGTTTATATTTGACATTTTCATGTAGCTCAATTTACTCCAACACAATTTTGCTGTACATACTAGTTTTTCATGAATTAGATAGTACCTAAGTAGAAATACAGGATGCACCAGAACTCGCGCCCCAGAGAAAAATTTCAAGTAAGATAAGTTACCAGGAACATGGAAAAAATGTTAAAAAAATTCTGTGTAAAAAAATTTTTACATTTATTTTTTGACATTTAACATTTTTTTATGTCTATTTAATGATACTGATGATCTTGTATATGTTTTAACATTTTTTCCATGTTCCTTGTGTCTTCTGTATGTATATGGCATTTTTCTCTAGGGCGCGAGTTCTTGCGCACCCTCTGTATCTGTCTAGCAGCTATTCAATTTCTTTATAATGTTATAATTATTCAATCAAGACCAGAAACATTTTTATTTGGATCAACTAAAATTTACCATTTTTTGAGTTACGATAATCTTCGTTGCATGAGTACTGTTCGAAATTTTCTAGGATATAAACATATACTACGTTTCCATGAGGAATTCATTTTGAATTGAAAACGGTATTGGTATTGAGTCCGTGTAGTCATCTGTGTCGTTTGAGATACACTCAAAAATTTTGGTTTGACATTGTAAACGTCACGGGAGTTTTGTGAATACATAATACATGTGATAGCTTTGACAATTTCTACAAATTGGCGTCCTACAGTGTATCTTTGACGGTACAGATTCAGCCAAATCATTTTTGTGGCATTCCGTACATATCAAGATCATGTCAGTTTTTTCGTCGCTTAAGTACATATTGAATTCAAGGAAAAAAAGTGGAAATGATGACACTGCCAAATTTAATGATATGTCAACAACTACTTTGACCTAGATTTAATAATCTAAATTTTTCAAACATAATAAAAACTAAGTTGTCTGTGAGAATGTATTTTGGCTTGCGTCTGAAAACGGCTAAGGTCTTTATTATAAATGACACACTCCGTATTTATTATTATTATGAATAAAAAACTGAAAATGTGGATTTTCTTTCCAAAAATTGAATTGATGTTTATTTTGTGTTCATCCACCGATTTATAGAATTCAATTTTGTTACTACAATTAAATTGTTTATAGGCTAATCAAATAGATTTTAAATCAAATCAACCGAAAATACAGTAATAAATTTAGTGAAATTTAAAATTCTTCTTCACAATACAATTGAAAATACTTACTTAAAGATTTGTTTTAGTTTCTTGCTGTATGACAATGACTTGTATGATTTTCCAGGTGACCCACCGCGTAACCGGGCAAGTGATGGTGTTGAAGATGAACTTGCTGCGTTCGAATCGCCGTAACATGTTGAAGGAGGTCCAACTGATGAATAAATTATCCCATCCGAATATCCTAAATTTGATGGGTGTATGCGTGCACGAAGGTCAATTACATGCCCTCACCGAATACATCAATGGTGGTTCATTAGAGCAACTCATACAAAATAGAAACATCGATTTACCGCAACCAACAAGGGTATCGCTAGCCAGGGATATATCATACGGCATGAGCTATCTTCATTCCAAGGACGTATTTCACAGGGACTTAACAAGTAAAGTAAGTGAAGAACGGTTTTCTTTCTACCGTTTTGAGATAAATTCAAAACTGTTTTTTCATTCGGTTGTTTCACTCGAGCGTACCGTGCGCGATATAATTATCATTCAATAATGGGATATTGAGTACCCACTAATGAGAACCCAACTTTTTTTTTATTCTACAGGCTCTTCGCCTAAACCGCACTTTAGAAGTATTGGGAGTTGGAATAATCATGTTTATTTGAAAATTGGTACATAGCCATAAACCATTAAGTCCTCCTAAATGAAAATATTTTCAAGATGGCGACACTTCCGCTTATATCGGAAGTCGGTCTCAACTTTTTTATTTTAAATAGAAAGCTGTTTTTGGATCAATCGGGTTATTTTAAGGGAGTTTTCATCAGCTTTCCCTATACCTACATTTAGCCGTTTTTGAAATATTTGGAGTTTTTCAAAAAAATTTGGATCTGCACCTTCCACTTTAGAAATCGGAAACTCTCCCGTTTTTTAAGATTTTAAATTCGTTTTTTTTGGCATTTGAAAGATCCTTTTTTTGGTGTTTTAAAATTTTGAAAAAAAAAACATATCCCAAAATTTTAAGGTTACTTTTGTAATAATTCAAATACTCATAACTCAATTTTTTCAAATGAAATACCCCAATTTTTATTTTACTAACTAGAAGAGAATTTAATTGTGCATTGATCTGTATTAACATTCCCTATACCTAAATTTAATAATTTTCAAGTTATGGACTTTTTTTAAGACTACAGAAAATTTATTACCAGCCACATCCGTTTTCACATAGTTTGCTATGGAAATTAAAAAATGTCAAAATTGTTTCTCAATAAATGTCGACATCAGTGACTTATTATTTGACATGGCCTACTTCATCTGTCTTCCGCTGCGCTCCATACGGCCGTAACATACTGTCGATTTTATATGAATGCGTTGAATTCTACTAACCTTAAAAAATCGTCCGGTAACAAGCGTCATCTACTTGATAACTTAAAGACTATAGATATTTCAAATTTGACAATTTTTGTCAAATTTTCAATCATTCTTTTAAAAAGTTCAAAGATCGGCAAGAAATGTTTTGTTTGTAGAGAAAAAGATACTTTATTTGAAATACTTAGCGATATAGCAGCTCGTGCTGAATGGTTAAAGAATACTCCGGAACTTTGTGGTATGAGCAAAAAATTAATAAAAACATTTACCTAAGTTCCTACTGCTTATTTGTAAAAGACAGAATGCTCTCGAATATACATTCATATTCGAGTTTCTGTCTTATTATGATATAAACCCTCTCTATTATCGGACTTAATTTTCCAAAAAATTTTTAGAATTAGAATGGAAATAGGTACTTGTTCCAGAGGATTGCCAGCACCAAAAAACTGTTACTTTACCTCAGCACGCATTTGGCCGACCAAATTTGTCGTTTCAGTCTTCGACAAACGTTTCAGTAACAAATTAATTTAAAAAGAAGGAATTTTGAATGAGGTGCAGGTAATTTCTAATTTAGGACTGTCAAAATATCAATTAAAAAGTTTTCAGTTAACCAAGTAGATGGCACTACTTACCGGACGATTTCGACGATATTTTTGAGGTTAAGAGAATTGACTTTTGGCTCGTTATGTTACGGCCGTATGGAGCGCAGCGGAAGACAGATGAAGTAGGCCATGTTATTTGACAAATAGTGTCGCCATCTTGAAAATATTTTTATTTAGGAGGAGTTAATGCATTATGGCTATGTACCAACTTTCAAACAAATATGATTATTCGAACTCCCAATACTTTTAATGTGGGGTTTAGAAGGAACACTCTGTATACGTTGCGTTTGGTAATTTTCTCAACAAACTAACACGTAAAAAAACCAAGATAATTCCGCTTTATGTCTATAATTTGTCTTATTTGTTTATAGAATGTCCTTATAAAGCGCTTGGAATCAGGCGAGTTGCAGGCCGTGGTCGGCGACTTCGGCTTGGCAGCGTCGATCCCTGATGGCAAAACGAAGCTGTGTACCGTCGGATCCCCTTATTGGATGTCTCCCGAGTGCCTGAAGGGTCAATATTACGACCAACAAAGTGATGTATTTAGTTACGGAATAGTGTTATGCGAATTGATAGCACGCGTCGAAGCTGATCCCGATCAGTTGCCCAGAACTGACAATTTCGGTCTCGATTATTTAGCGTTTACCGAAATGTGTGGGCAGAACGTTGTACCTGAATTTTTAAATTTGGCATTTCGATGCTGCACTATCGATCCAAAAAGTCGGCCGACATTCAACGCAATCATCCAAATATTAACCGAAATCTTGGGCGATCTACAGCATACATCTGATCGAGAGCAAGCCAAGTTGGCGAGTTGTGCCGCCAAAAGCGAGGAACAACTTCCTGTACTTTTAGTACAATCATCGGCACCACAACATAGGAAAAGTATGTATCGTACGTTCAAGATTTGTTTTCATTTTATACTTCATTTATGGAGAGCGCATTGTTGCAAAAAGTCATTCGATGATGACGATTGAAACAATAATTAAACTCGAATTGCTTTTTGTATAATGTTACATGACATTTTTACAGAAAGTATAATTTTATCTTATCTTAATATCGCCGCCATTTTGTCAAGATGGCGGACTCAATTTGGGTAAGTCCCCATATCACAACTTTTATATCGGAAGTAGCCAGGGGTGGACACGTTGCTCTAAAGTTAATATGGGAGAATTCCCAAGAGTTTTTTAAGGAAAATCTTGAAGTTAGAGATAGAGTTTTTTGTGAATACGAGCTATTTTTATAACAATAATTTAATGTACAATTAACATAGCGCTTTTAGAAAATATTTGCATCCGTGGTGTGAGTATATTCACTTTTCCATCATAAAAGTGATCTTATCATCTGTGAAATATTGAAGAAAATTTTGAGTTTTACGTTCAAGTATTAGAATTTAAAGTGAGGATGATGGTGGTTATAATTGTTGCGGAATGTTCCAACTAAGATTCTTTTGTTTAAACGAATCTTGTAAAAGATAAACAATTCTAGATTCAAATTTTCCTTTTTTGGGCTTCAGCCCTGCTTTGTTAGAGACTAATTTTTGTCATAATTTTAGTTTTGAAAAATTAAGTATGTCTTGGAAATTTTCAAAAAATCTATTTTTTTTGTAAAATGCGTTTAAGACAAGAAAAATTGTTTGGAATCAAGATCTAGGTTTGCATACCAAATTTCAAAATCATGATTTTTAATTTTATTTATTAATTCACAAATCAAAGAATTTTGTTTTTACCAGTTCTTTTATTACGAATTAAAAAAATTAATTTATTTTGTACTCAATGTTAAAGAGTGCTTTTATCAACTAATTTCAGTAGATAAAGTAGTAGTCTTTTATCGTCTGGTGAGATAAAATAATTTTTATCTACTGTCTATATTTTACCAACTAATTTCGGTAGATAAAGTGGTCTTTTATCGTCTAGTCAAATTAAGTAATTTTTATCTACTGTTTATATTCAAGAAATTGTGGTAGGTGAGTACAAAATAAAACGAAATATTACACACGACCATAAAGATTGTTGTTTATCTACTCGTGAAAAAGTCCACTCATGACTTCGTCACTCGTAAACAATCATTTCACTCGTAGATAAACAATTTCTTTATCGTCTTGTATAGTAAATAACTATTAGATTATTAGCACTAAATACATTTTTGACGTTTTTGTTAATAAAAAGCAATTATCTTGGTACAGCCCTGAACCCCAAAAAAAAAAAGAAGTTTAAATCGAAATTTTTGCATTTTTTACAAGTTTGTTTCACCTATCCGGGGACACACTGTATAAGTAGACTGTCATATTTAAATGTAAACCACATTTAGTTATTTATCTAGAAAATAAACTGAAAAAATAGACTGATTGTAATTCTTCAAGTATTCTTGGAATCTACCTTTTTTTCTTCATAAAAAACTCGTTTTTGATTGAAGGAAATCATTGATGTATTTTTACATCATTTACATGATTTCCTCACCACTTACAATTTCAACTGCGGCTGAAAAAGGAAATGAATTTTGGTGCTTTCTAATTTTATAAGAACCAAAGTGTTTTTTAAGTTTAAATAACAAAATAATCTTTTAGGCGTGTCAATACGTATGATGCTTTCTTATTTTTTGACAATGTATATACTTACTCAAGTTCAATTTTTTTTCGAAATGTTATTAATTCATTGTTACCATTAATATGGGTAGAAAATGACATAAAGTCTTTAACTCATTTGTTAATTACGAAGGACAGAGACTAGAGAAATTATCATGTGAGTAAATAGTGATTTTGATAAGTTTTAAATTTGGTTTTAATGATTTTTTTTAAATATTTGAAATTAATGCATATTGTTGTCCACCCCAAGTACATAAGCAGTGTTTTAATTTCTAATAATTGCTGTGTTTTCAGTTGTTCATCGGCGATCGTTGTCCGAAGATGTGTCCATGTTGTCGCTAACGATGCATGCGACACCTAGCGAGAAAGCTCGTCGCCACGCTTTGACGATGTGTCGCCAAGACCCACACTACAAACCTCGTACGAGCAATCCATTTGCGGCTTTGGCTCAATTCCGCGGTGTTAAAAAGTTCCTCGGCAACTTTTCGTCTTGTTGCGAGTTGCCATCGCCTTTCATCGAGTCCACCGAATCACCAAAGTCGCTCCCAGGTTCGCCAACGGCTTCACGTAAAGCAACGACATCGCGATCGCCTCTTTTCGTACATCCGTTCTTCAAAGGCGGTTCCAGTACAAATTTACTGGAGTTGGGAAACGCCGAAGGCACGAGCACGACTTTGAGGAGACGCGGCTCGTGCGAATCGGGGTTTTACTCCAGTGTGGGCGAATGTCTCTCTCCGAGTAGTTTATGGGATAGCGGAACTGCGGTCAGTTCTTTGAGGTCTCTCGACGAGTTAGAACCGGCCGAGTTGCAGGCGTTATGCAAGAGGGCGTCGTCGATTTGTACAGATAGCAGCGAGGATATTTCGAGTTTGACTGGCTCCGAATGGACGCAGGATTTGAAGCCAAAAAATATCTCGTATATGGTCGACTACTTCGAGAGAAAGGGTACGAATTTGAGGCATCCTGGAGGGGTTAGAGGGGGGTTGCAGCTTAGTTCCAGGATAGCAGCTTTACGAAAATCGTTGGAAAAGCAAGGGGCTTCTGGTGCTGTTAATTCTAATTCGCATGTGACGCCGCAGAGGCATAAGTATAACCGGATTGTTGTCTGTGAAGGTGCAGTTAGGTCAAAGTTGCCCCTTTTTGATAAAAAGTAGGCCAGTCTTCCTTCGTTTTTTTCTTCTCTAGTCAGATTGTAATTGAAAATTGTTACATGATTTGAGGCCTAAGTGAAATATTATATGATATTTGAAAAGAAGTCTATTTTTCACTTTGTATATAATTTAGGACTATGATGAACGTTGTTCTCAGATTATTGCGAGCGTCCTTGTTGGTTCACAGTTGTAGATAATGTGTTTTTGTGTCCATATTTGATGGGCTGTTTATGTTGCATGTGACCTTAAAATTATTTTGTTTCCAGTTTTGAATAAAGGTTCCATGGCAAATCAGATAAACGGCCTATATTAGGTCAGTTTATTAAAGTTGTGTGAGAATTAAGCTTAATTTTTGCATTTATGTTATTTTGGACATTTTTTAGAAAGTAAAATTGTGTTTTAAATAAATTCCACTTCTGTTACTATTTGAATTAACTATTTTCAAAATCGGCTAAATATTTGATTAGTGTGAAAAAGTGATTAGCATATAAGACTGAAAAAATTACGTCACTTACTAATTTTGTGTACTAAATATTTGTTTTGTTTAGCTGGTTTTGATTTAGTTAACACTTGTGTGAACCAAATGCCAAATGTATAACCGACATATCCAAGTTTTGGTTGCAATAATATAAAAATGTGATGACCGTCCATCAGAAAAGTATTTGAAGATTATACCAATTATGTTACTCTTTGTATTTATGAAATATTTAGTGAGCAAGTATTACTCTTTTTAACGGTCTGTTTGTATATCTTCCATATTGTCTTGTCAATAATACATATATAATTGTTTAGTAAAATAAAATAAATTTTTCATATATACTTTCATATTTTTTAATTTCTGACCTGTTACATAATACAAAACCTAGTTCAAAAATGTAATAAATTAGAATTGTAGAGTGATTAAATATATACAATTTTGTAAAAAGATCAATACTTATTGAACAGGAAGTATTTTAAAGTAACTACACCATTTGTGTCATTTTGCAACTAAACCAAGGCTTTCAGTTACAATATTTCGTTCTTTCAAATCACCTTGGAAATTTTATGAAGGATTATTTATTACACGTCTTCGAAAACCCATGGACAATCTCTTCATATTTATATCCTTCATTGAGTATTTTCCGCGATTACAACATTTTCGATGTAATATTAGCTGTCTTAGCTTAGTTGCAAAATTCATACTTCCATAAAATAAAAATGCAACTTCCAAAAATCAGTTACAGTTATACATATATAATTAATGAATTCAGTCTGTCTTCAGTCTCTTCACAGCCATTTCACTTCCTTGCGAATTGGAATCTTCCGAAAACGTCATATGAGAAGATGAAAAATCGGTTGGACCTTGCGAATCACTCACAGTTGAAAAACCTACACAAATAAACGATAATTTATGACACAAAATAATAAATGATAAACTTACAAGTATTTGAGTCTTCCGCTAAACTAAAATTTGAGTTCGAGTTCGAATTATCAACTGCACTCTTACGTGCCATATTTTCTTTATTCGCTTCTTTATGATGCTTTATCCCTTTTTTGGATTCGCTTGCTACAGGCACCCATTTGTATATCTTCATGGTAGTATCACCAATTGTAACCCATTTCTTCTCCCTAAATAAGAAAAATTTGGTTTTATCAGGCCCAGCTTTGCCAATGAACTTTAAGAAAGGAAGAATAGAGTAATTCAGATAAAAAAGATGTATGAAAATTACTAAATGAATTAAAAAGGTGATTTTTTACATAACATTATATATGACGTCCCATCTAAGACTTTGTTGTAATGTGAGTACTTTTTAGCACATATATTTACATAAGTTAATTAAAACCATTATTAAATCAAAATATATAGTTGAGTCATAGAAAAATATAATTTATTACAACAACTAAAAACAACAGCTTAACTTTACAACAAACTGGTAGATGTAAACTTATGGATGTTTTATACACTTCTGCAATAGATTTTTATAAATTATAAAGGTTTATACAATTTATTAGTTAATTAACGTATTGTTTCGCGAATAATGTAGTCTTTAAGTGTGTTCATCTCATGATCCAAATTTTTCTATTATAAAAAGTGTTGACTCCATAAAAATAATTATTATATATCCAAGAACAGATTATGTAACTGTAGATTATTTTTCTATCCATTTTACATTTTTAAACTTAGGTCTTATGTGGATCAGAACTGTTTACATTTCTGGAACAATTTTTGTAAATTAATATTAATTAAAACTACAACAGACGAGAAAAAAGGGTCAGCCCATTAAATCTGATTAAGGGTGGCTTTTATAGTCTTCGGATAAACCCCAAATTGTTATAATAATGCAGATCTCAAAATTTATCTCTGGAATAAATTTATCAGACGACTGGAAAAGCTGTTTTTTAATGATAATTTTTAATATCAGGAGCTAATTAATTCCATTGCCAATCGATCGCTCTATCTATGAAAATTTCCTTTGCCGTCTTGATATGAAATATTTATATTTTTTCTTGAAACTAAGTGTTCCCACAATTGTTTAGACAGTTATTTGAGCAACTTTGATTAATTAAATTAAAATATACAGAACTTACCAATGTCTAACCCGATCTATAACATTCATAACCTTTTTAACATCATCTTTGGCACGACTACGAGTTTCAGCACGAATAGAACGCGACATTTTTATTTACACGAAACCTTTTCACAATAATAAAAATGTATAAAACCAAAGTTTATGAATCCAAAGCCATTTTTCTAAAGTATATTATACGAAAAACAAGCGAATGCCAAAGTGGAACAAAGACAGACTAACGGAAATGTGTTCTGTAGTGTGAAACGTCACTCAAAATTTGTAAAGTTCTAACCAAATTATGGAAATGTGCTAAAGAAAACAAGCTTCCTATGTATGCAGAATGTGAAATAGTATAAAATAAAAAAAATGATTATGGCTAGATTTTTTTTAATAAAAATTTAAGTAAAAACGATGTACTTTGGTGGTGTAATTTACGAACTAATTGAGAACTTGTTTCGACACGAGCGCCCTCTTTGCAGGTAGCGTTGAACTAGAATCTTAAATTTTTGAAACATTTATCGAAAATTTACGAGTTGTACGGATTTGTAAAGTGTTAAATGTATTGTATTAGTTTTAATTGAGTTTGTTTCGTGAAAATACGGTAATTTGTTTTGTTTAGAAAACTTGAAGTTTTGTGCAAAGTAAATGTTACCGGCCGCGATCTGCATTACCGTCATTTTTGCAGTTTCAAATCATGGCCGATTCTATCGAATTGCGTATGAGTGTTACGTCTATCAAAAGAGTTGATCCATATGTGAAAGATATTTTAGCGACTGCTACACACGTTGCTTTATACAAATTCAATACTTCAACCAACGAATGGGAAAAAACAGATACGGAAGGTGCTTTGTTTATATACAGTAGAAATGGAGAACCGTTTCACAGTATTATGGTTATGAACCGACTCAACACAAATAATGTGATAGAACCTATTGTGAAAGACTTTGATTATCAGATGCAAATACCGTTTCTGCTCTACAGGAATTCAAAAAGTAAAATATTTGGAATCTGGTTTTTCAACCGCGAAGAGTGTGTACATATTACTTATTTAATTGAGACCGTAATGGAGAGTCTCAAAGACAAGTCTAACGAAAGGTCGAAGAAGCAAGAGAATGGGGTCGACATTTTCAGCCTTCTCTCAAAAGCGCAAGAAGACTTCAATAAAACTCCGACGAAACAAGATTCGGTACCGCCGGCGTTTTCTACACCTAGGGATTGTACTTCAAAAAGTGTTATGGACTTTTTTGCTAAAGCCAGCACAAAGTCAACACATCAAACGCCCATTGTGTCTGGGGGCGACGGAGAGAACGTGTTACAGAGGCTGATGTCCAACCCGGCTCACACAGTTGAACATATTGAAAAACAACAGAGGTCCATAACTCCACAAGAGCAGGTAATTTTTTTTACTATCTTTAATTATTCTAGCTGAATTGAACGAATTGCATAATGCATGAGATATTGCATTTAGTATAAAAGATTTCTTAAAGGTTTATTTTAAACAATTTATAATTTCAAAAGGAACTTTTGTATGCTTAATTTTAGTGCTATCAGCCTGAGGCAATAATTGTAACGGGTGTTTATTTAAATATGGCGCCATAGTTGGCGGTGATATGAGTGTATTGTGAACGGACCACAATTACGCCCGGCGAGGTGTCAAATGAAGAGGCAAGTGGAAGAAGGTGTGATGTTACAATAACATATTTATGAGATAATTGGATTTAAGTAAAATTAACTGGCGTGATTATGATTGCGACGTGGCTCCTTCTAACATTCAGTATCTGCTTTGATTTGAGAGATAGAGCCAAATACTCATGCCACGAGTCGTATCATGTACTTAACTCTCTCATCCACATCAAACTGGACTTTTTTTTAAATGTTACTTAACACCTTCTTCCACTTGCCCCTTTAAATGTCATATTAATAACTTTCAATACGGTGGTTCGTTCACAATCAAACCTTCACAGATAGCTTTGATGCCAAATTAAAATAAACACGCGTTACATACCAGGTGAATAAAAAGTATGGAACCAAGCGTTTTTTTCGTAAACTAAGTACTTTACAAAAAAAAATAATTAGTGTAGTGTAAAGTCCAATTAAAATGTGACCATTTATCAAGAATAACATTTTTCGAAATTTTTTTTAGTTTTCGAGTTCTGGATTTTTTTTTTTAATGGCAACCCACTATGGTAATTTTTTTAATTAAAGATTATGATCTAAAAATGACCTCTAATTAAACAGAATTGTTTTCTAGTCAGTAATTTTTTTAATAAATTGTTAAAGTTGCGTTCCGAGCCCATCACGAAGATTTTCCGAACTTGAACGAGGGAGTCGTTTCATGACTTTGGTCGTTGCAGAGCCCGGTTTTTGGTGCAGGTGCTTTGGGGTGGTTCCGGATGGATCAAAAAATGTAAAAACAAATAATTTTCTTCTATTTTTAGTCATTCGAAACTACCCCAAAGCACCTGCATATAAATCAGCGCTCTTCCTTGATGAAAAGCATGAAACAACCACTTCGGTTAACTTCGGAAAATCTTCGTGATGAGCTCGGAATGCAACTTTAACAATTAATGGCTATAAAACAATTTTATTTAATTAGAGGTCATTTTTAGATCATAATCTTTAATTAAAAAAATTACCATGGTGGGTTGCCATTAAAAAAAAAAAAAATTCCAGAACTCGAAAACTAAAAGACATTTTGAAAAATGTTATTCTTGATAAATGGTCACATTTTATTTGTGCTTTACGCTACACTAATTATTTTTTCGTAAAGTGCTTAGTTTACGAAAAAAACGCTTGGTTCCATACTTTTTATTCACCTGGTATGATATGATCCAGAAAATCGATAAGATTTCAAAGTTTTAGTTGAAATTTATTTTTGGCGCCGATTTTCCAAAACAATAATGCCAGCAATACGTGTGTTTTTATATAAGTTCAATAAATTATTTTGATTTGTTGTCATTTTTTCTGTAGCTACGAGTATCAGGATAAAAATTATAAAACCGAAAATAAGGTTAGTTGCTCGGTTAGTAACATAAGGTCTGTTTTACATTTTTATGTCAGTCAAATGACAAATCGTCCAAAATTCCGTGTCGGCAATTATATAAAAATTAATCTAGTGGAAAACTAAGTGCCAATTCTAATGAACCATCGTTTGAAAGAACACCACAAAGTCCAAGTGGGTTTAAATTCATTAGTTGAGTACTTTTTTTATTTACTTTAATCAATTTTTTGCATTTTGTTATTCTTCAAAATAATAAATTAGGTATCATCCATCTTAGATTTTAGTTTCAAATTTTAAGTAATTCAAATTATACAATTTTTATTTTGCTCGGCCACATTGTTATAGTTTTTACTATCATGTTTTTTTTTTTTGGTTAATTGGTTAATTAAATGAACTGCATGAAATTTAGATTAACGTTACATTTTTTACAAAAGTGTTAGTTGTATTATTGCATTTATTACCATGACTTGAATAATATTAAATTGTTGAGTTTACAAAAATAGTGTATGGTAGTCAGTGGTGTAGTGTCACATTTTATTTGTGTTTTCTTGTTTCTACACCGCTTTTGACTTCTGGACTGTGTGCATGCCCAAATTGTAGCTGTCTTTTTGTAAAATATGCAGTTCTTACAACTATTCACTACTTTCGATATAATTTGATACAATTTGGTACTGTAATCATTTTTAATGATTTTTTTTCGTAATAACAAATCTGAAATTCAAATTCTAAATTTTCATTCTTTTTTTCTATGAATAATGTTTAGAAAAAAGTTTTTTTTTCCTTTTTTTTCAGTTATTTTACATATTTTATGAATACAGGGTGGAAAAATGTATATGCTCACACCTACAGCACAGTGACGGACAGTTAATTTCGTGCGCCCAATTTCCATGAGAGGCTAAAAGTGTAAATTAGTGTTTAGGTTTTTCTAACTTTGTTTTGATTAATTTTTGTCATATTGACAAAATCTTTGATGCTTTGTCTTACATTGCTTGAGGTATAGTACCAATTCATTTTCAAGTTGAAAATCCGTTCCAAAATAAATAAGAATTTGATTAAATTTGACAATACGTATTTAAATGTCAGTTATCATGACAATAAAGCACAGATTTCAGTGAATTTTTGTGAAAAAGGGCGGACGAAATTTATTGTCCGTCACTGTACTGTACGTACAAAATTGTTTAAAAACAAAAAAATATGGAACAAACAGATGACATTACAAATGAACTACGTAATATTTAAAAAGCTCAAATTCTATGTTTTTAATTTTTTGTGGTACAGTGCTGGACAATAAATGTCCACCACAAATGTCAAAATGACATTCGCCTCTAAAGCAACCTACATAATGAGTGAGCTAACCTCAACTTTTAAGTCTTGTCATACATTGTCATAGTCTATCTATAATCTAGATTGTTTAGATGTAGAAATTTGTCTACCTGACATCATACCCTGTAGAAAAAGGGAAATTATTCAAACTTTGTTTTTTGAAAGCAGATTGAGGACAGTTTGATGCCTGACAGTGGTGACAGTATTATGACAATAAAAAAAAAAAATATTTCACGTCAATTATATTGACAATAATGCAAGATTTACATCTAATTTTTTCGAAGTGGTGGACCAAATTTATTATCCGGCACTGTACATAACTTGGTTATTTACTTATTTTAACATTTCGTCATTATTTAATCATGTTTTTCTGTTCATGGAGAAACATTTTATAAAATTGCTAGATTATGAAAAAATAGTTTTTGAAACTTTTTTTTTATTCACATAATTAGGAAAGTTAAGTTACAAAGTTTCTTTCTTGTTATCATTTATACAACACTAATAAGTTAGTACTGAACATTGAAATACAAAGTGATCGATCCACAATCTGTTGGCAACGTGGAGGGGTTGGCAATCCTGACTCTAATTTTTAAAGGTTACTATTGGAGTACGCCTTTGATTACCAACAATTGAACAATTTTGAGGGGTTGTACGTCAAGTATTTGTCAAGCAAAACCGTATCCCGTTGCAGTATTTCAAATTATTAACAAAATGACTTTCAAATCTGTTACCAACAGGCACAGTCTTTCTGGATCACCACTTGTTGTATAAAAAGCTTGCAAAGGTGGAAACAAAATCTTTATTAAAAGAGAATTGTTAATACTTTAAGGTAGTGACTTACGTGCATTGCCAACTGAAAGAATTAACAATACAGTATCTTCTCATCCACATAAATAATTCTGAGAAAAATTGTGACATACCTGATTGACTTCTGAACCCTTTATTTATATATGTAAAAAATGTTAACAAAATAAATCTTAGAAAGGGAAAATACGAAATATACAGATCTTATTTTACTGCATTAATGTTGTGAGAATATTTATGGACACATGACAATAACTCTTGGGTGATAATGTGAAAACTCCTACACTTCCATAAATTATAACGTGGCTTTATTATTTTCAGTATTATGAATATAAATTTGAATTAACCATAAATGCATTAAATTTCATCTCTTTAAAATAAAAGTGAAGTATGTACTAGCAATTTTGCACTTTGACAATGAAGCATATTTACAGCAAGTAATAATACTATCATACTATAAATAATAAAAATTATAAACATTATTTTACAAGAGTCATAAGCTGAAATACGATTTCCTTATTATATAACACCCACACTGAACAATTTTTTGACATATTTAAGTCCTCGTTAATATATTTTTTTCTGATGCAAAATAAATAGAGCATATACATATTTATTTACGAAAGGAACTCGACTTATTAAATAAGACAGTTAAGGATTATTAACATTATTGCAAATACGGTATTAAATAGTAAATATCATTCATTATCGCAATGTATTGCCACTATCAGGCGCCATTTTTTAAACAAATGCAGCACACCTATTCGCATTTTGCATAACATAACAAGCAATAAACAAATGCCTCACTGTCACTTTTGTCATTAATGACCAGTGTTTAACAACAACGCATATGTCACTTTTATTGCTACTGGTTTATAAATATATTACGTAAAGGAGTTCATTCATATAGGTAACCGTAACAGTGTAATAAAACACAATTTTCATTCGTTTAACAATCATCTTATAAATTCTAATTACTCGTAGGTAACCTTACGTCACAAAATAAACGCAGACAGGCGCAGCGTTCCGATTTCATTCCCAAGTACAAGCAACACGATCGACCGAAAAGACCAAGAAAATCGAATGAATTTCATGGGGGTATCACCCCCGAACCAAGCCTATCAAGGATCATCGCCGTTGGCATTCCTTCTGCAAGGGCCGAGTCAACTGCAACAACCGGAAGAGCCAGCCGATGCGCTGAGGACGTCACCCTTTGCACAATTCCTAGACAACGCGCAAAAACCGCAGCTGATGACTCCTATGATGTTTACGACTCCTACAAATGCAGAAAAGCTAGACAACAGTAAGATGGAAACTAAAGTCGAAAATATCGATCTCTTGACGGAAAAACAACTAGCACAGGCACTCATTCACTTGTTGAAGACTAATTCAAATTTTACAAGACAGATACACGAAGCTTACGTTAATTCGATCATGGAAAGGGTGAATTGCAACAGTAATTCCCTTATTTAATTTTTTTTTTTAAATTAGACAAAGTCTTGATAGATACAAAGTTATCCTCAATCCAATGCCTTAAATTATTAGATTTTAATAGCGACATTGAATTCTTTCCTCGTTCTTTGACTGAAAATTGTAGTATTTTATATTACATTTTGTTTGTGCGTTAAGCGGCTTTCATCTTTTTCTTTGTATATATTAGTAGTATTTTATTTCTCTAGAGAAAGGGAACATACAGTGCTTGAAGATTTTTGTAATGTTTTGCAATGATGTCTTCTACAACATAATTAAGGCGCTAGTATTTAGAATATTTCATTATCAAAACAAGCTATCACATTAAATTAGATCTTGTTTTGATGTAACATACAGTTACATACTTATTGTGATACATAGAGAGATGTGTTTAGAATTTGAAAATCCAATAACTTTGCTATTAATATAGTTTAGATGAATGAATTAAACAGGCATGTAGTTGGAATGAATTGTTTAGTTGTACTTTTAGTTTTTATGTTCATTGACAGTTTCTTTTACTTCTTTCTAGTCATTTATTTATCTGTTTTAATATAAATCCGAGTGTTATTGGTATCTAAGAGGAAATCATTTTGTTTCATGTCATCTATAAATGGCACTCAATTAATATACAATATTTTTAGTTGAATGAGTTATCATTAATATTGTGTAATCTTGATCTTGGTAGGCAGACAACCTACTCGAAGAACTATATTTGTAGCAAACATATTTCAATCTCATAAATGTATATTTTTAAGCAAAAGTATATTCACGTTGTAATATTGTCAACAGAATTGTCATCTTTGTTGATTTATATTTTTTTACTTGAAAGAATCTGTACTTGTTACGGTTTTTAGAAATTTGTACTACATATTTTCCAGTTTTCTTGTCGTTTGAACTTTTCTCGATAAATTATTTGTTGAGTAAATTTTTTTTTAAATAAAGACGTTACATCTGATTTAGAACATTTATTTGCTGAATATAAAAGTCACAGTATTTCTAAAATACAATAAATAAGCATTTACTTAACTAATATTATACAAAATAAGCGAATACAGTCAGAATGTTAAAAGTATACAAAGATATGTACATATTTACGTCAAACTAATCGTGTTGTTATTAAAATTTGAGCAGTCGTTATTGTCAGGTTGGTAAACATCACGGCACGATAAGAATGTATGAAACTTGGAAAAAGCATCTTATCGTGCGAAAACGCTGATCAGTCGCAAAAATGCCAAGAATGTCACAGCCGCAAGTGCATTAGTCTTGTCAAATATAATTTTTTATTATGAAATAGCTACTCTGATGTTTACCCTACTTAAATACTTTGGTTCCTTGTTAGTGAAGATTTTTTCAATCCTTATTGATTAAGCGTATTAATAAAATTCTTTTATGAACTTATTTATGAACTTCATTTATGAACTTATCATCTAAGTATTTTTTGTCGGTGTTTACATGGTGGACTAAATTAGTTTTGGAACACTTAGGCGTGATCTTCTCAATGTCCAAAACCACCGACACCACATTTGCGTCTTTATAGTCGTTAATAACGTGCTCTCCTTGCATCAGATTCAATTTAGCGTTGGTTTCGTTCTTATTCCCCGTATGAGACGTGCCAATTTTATTCTGGATAAGTAAAGGCACTTGAATCCTCTGCAAATCATCGCCTTGGTACTGGTGGTATAAACATTTCTGATGCTGCGATCTTCTCAAAATATTATCGTAAGTTCGTTCCAGTTTGTCACAGCCGTGTTTGCTTTGAGAAGGCATATGGTGTTCATATGACGTTCTAAAATCCACAGTTAAAATAATTAAATATACGACTTAAACTGCCTCTACATACCCTAATTTTTGAGTAGCGTGATTCTGATTTTCGCTTCTTAAAATTTTAACTGCTAGTGCGATCAAAACGAAGAGAATGACTGCTCCACACACAGGCACTGCTATAGTCGCCGCTCGGAACCACACTTGGGAGTTGGTATAGTCGATGGGCTGTTGTAAGTTGCCGATTGTTGCATGGGATTCTGAAAATTGGATAAGTTTAGAAAAATCGTTATGTTTGAAGCTTGGAGTGTCGTACCTTGTTGGGTGTTGTTTATTATGTCTTTTGTTTGGGGGCTGTCGACGTGGTTGCACATGTCGTAGTGGCAACAGAAAGTGAGCGTCTTTTTCTTCGTGGCGTTGTCGCGGGAAGCAGCCGCACAAACAACGCGATTTTCTCTAAAATAAAAATAAAAACATAAATTAATTATTCGTAAATGAGAAAAAAGAATTGTGCTTTAAATTTTAAATATCAGGTAAAATATTGTTTTTAATAAAAAAAAATATTTTCACATGAGGCTCTCCTCATTTATATTGAGGTACAGAATAGGTACTGTAAAGTTTGTTGAAAATATTTCTGTTTTTGTTAAATACATTAACGGTTTTAAAATGTCTGATTCAAAGGTCTAAACAATTAATTAGAATTACATCATTTTTACATTGCTTTTGTTTTTTTGTTAATTAATGTATAAATAATTTGACAATTTAGTCAGCAAAAACAAAACTATTTTTCAAATAAAATTATTAGATTTACACAACATGCCATCACAATGTTAAAAGTTTGATCACCAATTGAAATAAACACATCAATTACATTTTTATGTCCATTGAACAAATGTACATTACTTGATTGGCAGAAGAAATTATTGGTTTCGCTTGACTAAAACTGAGTGCTTGTGGACCACACTACATTTTTCTTGGTGACGAGCAATAGTAAGGTAAACAACGTTTCAAATTTTTAACTTTAATTGAAGAATTGTAGTTTTGCAGAAGCAGTTTAAACAAAATCGATTGCTATGAAGCGATAAACGTGAAGAATTAACTGAACACAGGATATGGTCATTGTTACCAAGAAAAATGAACATACGTCGATAATTATTAATTCCTTGTAGCTAGACAAACAGGTATATCAGAGTAAAAATTGTCACTATCAGTTATCGACATACTCGTATTCTGCCGTTACTACCTAACAACAGGAAATACTTCCTTTTTGCATTATTTTTTCACATCCCATCTAAAGGTAAGTTGCTAAGTTTTTTTTTAATTAATTTAATTTATTCAAGTAATTTGTTTCTAGTTTGTATCTGCCTAGCATCGTAATAAACTTGCAAGGAAATGGCTTAATTTTGATTAAAAAACCGCTATATTTCCTGTTAATGGTTCATTGTAAAATAAACAATAAACATAATCGGTATTCTTGTCAAAAGATTTGCTATTACAAAAATAAAAGAATTATGATTATGATGTTTAAAAAGTTTAAATTGCAACAAATACGACATAATTATTGCTAAAATATTTGAAATTTCGTTATTACAAGTGCCTAAAGCGCGACATTTTTTTGCCATACATTATTATTAACCATTAAGCGCAAAATGTTCTATTACATTATTATGTTCGATGAACAGAACACGAACCCGTCACACGAGGAATCTTAAAGAACTACTTAGAATAAAACTAGCCTGTAAAAATTGAACGCACGGTTCTGTTTTTATTTTATTTACTTTTCTTGTTAAAAATGAAAATCTACTCTGGAAGTCTATTTATAAATTATGATGTAATAATTAGTGGAAGAATTATGTAAATGAACTACATTTGCAGTACCTATAATTACAGCAGTACAAAAATATTTCATACAAAATGAACAAAACATGACTTATTTTGCAAAATGACTCAGGAAATAACATAATACCGTTAGTTCAGAACAAGTTTATATTAATAATTCTTATAATAATTGCAGAAACGTGTAAATTGTACGTACAAGGAATGTAATAAGGTATAGTCTCTTTTTGCAGCGGTATAGGAAGTAAAGTTGTAGTAAAAAGGCAGAAAAAAGAAGAATGCATTAAATTGCCGTCATTTTATTAAGTACTACATCTATGTTGGTAGAGAAAATAATCGTTGGTAAAAAGCCGCGGATGGCAAATGTCACTCGCCATCAATACACGGAATAGACTTCGATGCACCGAATAAATTCCTGGAGGAAATCGCAAGATTGAAGGCAAAGTACGGTTATATTTAGCCATAAGGTCAAACAACACGCTCGTGCAGAGAGAAAGAACGGGCACTCTTCAGAAGTCGTGAATTTGCCGACGTGCCTCCTCAACTCTACTATTAAAAAGCAGAATAATTAGCAGCTTTTGCCAAAGCAAAGTATCATTCCCATTTATGACTTAATTAGAAAAATAATGACCGAGCTGTTACACAATGGAATTTAATCGGCTTTTTTGTCAGTGCCTTAAATCAACTTGGATATCTCGAGAGGTAAAGTCTCAAGCGTTATAACTGTCCAACATTATAAAGTTTTTGTTTCGCTCGCAATAATGGTACAGGTGCACCAGCAGAACCTGTCGCAAACTGGGACACGATTTGTAAAGATTTTCTTCACATTACGCAACCGACCGGCTAATTTTATAATCGACAAATATAACCGCATTTTTGCAAGTCGGATTCTCTAAATTTTATTTCACTTAATTAGGACATTTATTATACTGTAGCTGGATTTACCAACCTGTCAATAGATTTCTTCAAATTTTTGCATTCTGCGTCAGATTTTTAAAACATTGAGGGCTGCAATGAGTCATTTGAATACATTACCTAATGAAATTTTTAAAGGTTAGTAGCGGTGTTATTAAAGACCGATGGGTAAACATAAATTGCAAATATGTACAAAAAGCTACTTATTGAAACTTCAACTCGTACCATAAATTTCGACTTTATGAAACTTCTTTTTGAATACCTACATACATATAATTTTAATAGTGTTCATTAACAATTCAGTTTCATGAAGCACTTACTCGCTAAGAAATTCCAGGCACCCATGACGTCCACGATAGTCTTTGGAATGATGACCCGCATGATCCAGAAAACTGGAAAAACAGCCGCCCTCACTGGATAAGCACATATAACCAGTGCTGACGCACTGCGGGAGGTTGCAGAAACACCGCACATAATCTGAAAATAAAATAAGTACACATTACTATGGTAAAATGTAATCTCGTTCTCTATATACTCCGTGGGGAAGACCATAAGTGCTCCCCTCGCGACCATCATCAACCATAACATTATAATAATGCAATAAATTGCAAATTTTACAGTGACGGTGAAGCTGAAAAGGCGAGTTTATATTTTAATTACGTCGTAGAGAAGCAATGACATCGCTTGAGAGGGGACAAATTAATAATTTCTAAAAATAATGTATTATTTAATTTTTAATGCATTCGGCTAAAATTGTCAAAATTTAAAGGTTTTTTCATGTTGGAGGAGTTCAAGTTGCAGCTTGTTTGACATATTTTCTATTTTAAATAATTTATGATGAAAGCATTCAATAAAATGGTAGCACTTTAAATAGCTTGAAGTGAAAAATGACAAGTATGTGTCGGGTAATGGCATTTTCGAGTTTTGTTTCATTAATAATTAACTGCAAAATTTCTAATTTACAATAGACGATTTAGTGCATTCGGTCTCTAGAAAATTAATCGTAGAAATTTGAAAATTTCTAAATAAAAATACTATTATGTAATGTGTTAAAAAAACAACATTGTTTTGTTTAAAATAGTATATTAAAATACGAGTTACAGAAAACATTCATTCAAGCAAGAGTCTGAAATTCCTATACGAGTCGCACTGCGGAATGACCTTTTGTAACGAGAGTTATGTACAATTTTTTTTCTATTTTGCGCTTTTAGGCTGTTTATAAAGAAAAAAGATTTTTTTCCTTTTAGGACATTTTGCACCAAGAAAATAGAGCAACCACCTCCAAATAAAACGTTGATTTTTTCAAACACAACTCTCCTTTTTAAATTACAGGCGTAAATATAAAATAATGAATAACTGGGTTTAATTTATTGTAGTTATCAACATGTTATTTCTTAAACAAAATTTTTTCATAGAAGACAGGTTGTGGCTCCTGGTTATAAAATGCAGGTGCCTCACTTTTATCACTAGTTCATCGCCTTTCCACGCTTGGGAATTTAGAAAATAGGTTACTAACAATAATACCTAACCAAATATAAAATCTCTGTTGTGAGCAAATGTGGAAGTAATATTAGAAATTGTCCAACAGCCAATTTTATACAGGGTGCGCCAGAACTCGCGCCCCAGAGAAAATTTTCACGTAAGGTAAGATACCAGGAACATGAAAAAAATGTTTAAAAAATTCTATCTGTCAAAAAATTTTGACATATATTTTTTGACATTTGACATTTTTTTATATTTATTTAATGATACTGATGATCTTGTATATGTTTTTTTACAATTATTTAGTAAAGGGACAAAAATTTTGCCAATAAAAGCCACAAATAACATTGAACAGAGTTACAATTTAGAATACAGCTTCCTTGTTTCCTCTTTTAATAGCCTATAGGAAAAAAACTTGGAAAATTACTTTTCCAACAGAAATAAATAGAGTCAAAGTGCAAAACTTTAAACCCTCATAACTTCGAAATTTTTATAGATAGAACATCTTTTCCATGTTCCTGATATCTTATATGGCATTTTTCTCTGGGGCGCGAGTTCTAGCGCACCTATATGTAAAATCGATGTATTTTTGCGACATTTTCATAATGTTTGATATTACTGCTTGTGTTCTAATCCGAATCTCAACAAAATCATTTCAAAACTTGATACATTACGAAAAATGTGAAAATTGAGAAGAATGTCGGCCAGCCTTGAATTAAGCAAGCGTCTGTAAAAATAACAGAATTCCTCTTAATGCAGCTAATAAATCGTCGAATAAATCAGAGGAATGTGTGCTTCCCGTTCCTCCCAGCAGTTAAATTCGTGTAAAGAGGAAGGACATACCGGACGCAATTTAACAATCGTAAATTACAGACCTGCTTCGATGACTTTGCGTGCAGGTAAAGTAATTGTATAGCAGACTAACTTTGATTGCACATAATGGTTACATGGCGCCGGACCTGATGATACAACTAGGGTAGGCCCTCGACTATCCCAGACTGTGCAATAAATTCAAATAGTGCGAACGAAAAAATCAGGGTACAACAGGTACATACATTGAGTTTCTTCACCCTAACATCGCAACTAATGAATTATTGAAGAGTCGTACAAGTTCTGTTGAAATTAATTGTCCGCTTTTTTGGATTTAGAGACGATTTTTTTACTCACGTCTAAGTTGTTTGCAATGAGAATCGATGGACCGAACATGTGCTCAAATGTCTGAGTCTGAATAATAATGAATTAAACGAAGTCTTTTTATTATGATCGGAGCAATGTCTGATGGGATTGTTTCGGAATTTCGTTTGTTTTTGCCAGTGGCGTACTAGATTCCTGGATTTAAAAATAATTTTACAAAAATGTTCAAAAAGCAAATTTTCCTTTTTGTTTAGAAAAATTTCAACTTTTTCAAATTAAAGAAAAAATCGTTATACAGGATGATTCAAAAGTCTGGAACCGTCTCTTAGTGGTGATGATAAAAGACATCCAACTGAGTTAGAAGCTCCCATGACGAAAATAGTTTGGTCCTTTTATCATAAATTATTACTCTTCAAAGGTTAGATCTTTGGGTTAAATTTTTGGCCGTTCAGATTATGTATTATTCTTAAATTTAGAATTTAGAAATGGCAGATCTTGCAGCATCAACTAGATACCTGTTGAAAAAAAAACACCAATTTGTTTATGTCTTATGGTGTACAAAACATTTAACAAATTATCAAATTCAACAATAAACTAAATCCGACAACATCGGAAATAAAAGAGCTAAGCCTACATGATAATATGGAAATTGTGACTTTAGTCCGTTCTGTTTTTTTTTTTTTCAAAAGAAAGCTTAAAAAATCCATTCATTTTTATACTTAGCTGAAAGTCTTCTATCACCATTCAAGAGTTGGTCAGATTCTTTTGATTCTTTTGAAATTCTTAGTCAACATTTGAAAAATGTCTCAAAAAGGTCGGCCCAACTGTAATTAACAAACCTTACATCCGCCCTTAGACATAACCAGTCCTCGGATTGAGTTTACAAGAGGAAAAAAAAAATATCTTTGATTTTACGCCAAAACTGCAACGAAAAAGCACCTTAAACGAGCAAATCTGTAATTAAAACTTCATTATTCTAACTCATTAGAAAGAAAAGTTAATTTTTCTCTTAATTTTGAACTTGGAATAAATTTTCTTTACTTCCCATCACATTGGCGGTTTTATTTGTTTGCACGAATTATGCAAATGCGATGAAGTCTTTTTTTATTATTTGAAAATATCGACTCAATAATTCACAGAAAGTGATAAACATGAACATACCACAGATGTAATGTCATAACAGCCTTACTCCTTAGATGTTTTAAAACCCATCTGCGGCTGTAATAACATTCATTACATCTTTGGTATGTTAAAACAGCTAATAAGTTAGTTATTTGTGTATGAAAACCGTAAAGGTGATCTTTTTTAGCTGAATCTGTTGTTTGCAGCTGAAACGTTAGACGAGGCTACAATTCAGATGAGGGCAAGAAAGCACTTTTGACCGAGGTGCACACAACGTTTTTTAGACAATGATCACAAAATTTTTATAAAATTGATTTTTATTATGGTCTCTGCATTCAATGGTAAAGGCAACAGTATTACTAAAACATTATTAAAAACGATATTGATATCAGTAAATTTGCAAAATTAGTTGCAAAAATGCTTATACGGGTTGATTTTAAAGTACGAATATGTGCAAATATTTTAACAGATGTTAGTAGAGCTCAAAAAAAGTCAAAATAACTAAACTTGCCTTCACTTACAACCTCCGCCTTGGCGTCGGAAAAAAATGTCAAAGTTTACACTGCTAGTTGTCCGTAACATTTGAAGTAATGAAATTCGGTGCTTCAATAAAAAAATTGATGAAAAAGTCTTACATCTTTACCAGTTCTAAAAAAGGAGAATTTGGCAAATGTGTATAAATATATAACTTTGCGGTTGCAAAAATGACCATAGATAATCTAACTACCCTGTAGTTTATAATTGTTTTTGAGTTGCGGATAAAAGTGCCATATTCTTAATCGTAATTCTAAATTTGCCGAAATATGTATGTATGTTTGATGTACCTATTATAATGTAAAAAAATTCGATTTTTTAAAATGTTTTTATCAGCAAACAAGCTTTGCGAGTGTGATATCATTCAAGACTGTTTTATACAGAGTTTTTCAAAATCAAAAATGTGGTTTTAACCAAGTTTTTTAAAATGAATATAAATAAATGGTAAATTATCACTTAACTGTGTAGTTCAGTTAGCTTTTATTTGATATACTTCCTCATTTGTATAAAAAATAAAAACTAAATACTTCACACTTAAAAATGTAGTCTATTTTTAATTCTCGACCTGATGATAGTTGATAGTTTTACTAAAATTTTACTAAAATAAAAATGTTGGGGTTTTCTATTTTCTAGGCTGAAAAGCAGATATCATCGCATAATTTTTGCTTTATTAGAAATTTGAAAATTATCAATTTTTCATATCAAAATGTAAACAACCTTGTATTAATTTTCTTCTATCTTACCAAACAATACATTACATGACAATATAGGATATAAAATATAGGCAACTTTTGAAAATTATATTTAACATGTAGCTTACACAAAGGATCTATGATAGTGCAAAAAACATCACTTTACAAATGTATTATTAAAAATACCAGGTGACTATTAATGTTTGTGACAAAAAAATCAATTCGCAACAATGAATTATTTGATATCTAATTTGTAATATCAGAATGGTTCAGGTGACGATTAAATCATCAGACGCCCGTAATTGTCAATAAAAGTTTGTCGTTTGAATATAAAAATTAAGGTTGTCAAACTAAAATTTTAAATTTGACACCAACAGGAGGCAAAAAAAGCACAATCATTAATAGTCACCCGATACATACAGGGTTGTTCCGTTTTTATTGTTACAAATTTAAACAGGTGATAGGATATTCAATTCTAAGACAAAAGTTTCCTATAAACATGTATCGAAAAAT